CCCGGAGTTAAAGACACAATAACTTCTTTTGAAAAATCGTTATTTCTAATAACAGAAGCATGCTTTGTGAGTGTTTCATTTGTTGGAACTTTCAGACGAAGCTTCACTTTACTTATCCAGTTGCATTCAACATCATGCAATAGTTTTAAGGTAACCTAATAAGCAGTAAGCAAAGCAAAAATTCTGAAAATAATATTTTTAATCTAAGAGAAACCACTACTTTTTTCTAAATGTTCCATTCTTTTGTGGAACTAACGTCTTTTTGCGATGATTTTAAGCTCACACACCCTTGTCTTGAAAATACTGACAGCCGCAAAGGGAAAAGATGGGAGGAGACTGCTACTCATGTCTCGAAAAGTTCTTGTCTGCTTTGGCAATGCAAAAGTCTCTCGTATACTACGTCGTAAAATGGGTGGATTTTTCGTAACCAAGCTTTAGCGGTGGAAATACATAAAGATTACTTTTTACAGTAAAGTGGCGATCACACTATGCGACCAAATCAGTAGCACCTAACATGGGACAAATTGGGCCTTGACAAACAGATTGGTCTAAAAGATAAAAAGAAAGTAGTATTTAAGGTAGTGGTCATAAAATGGACATCATTTAGTGTTGAAGATGACATGCCTTAATGATCATATGTCCCAACTAGATTGTAAATGCCCAGTATTGTTTAGAGGCTTTTAATTTATGATCAGAAAACAAATAAGGAATCAAAAGAGATTATTAGGGTCTATTTAAACCCAATCAACTCATAACCCAATTTTGAAGTGGAAAATATCCTCTGTTTTCTTCTATTTACGTTCCATTTCCGTTCTTTTACCTGCCATTACCAGATAACATCTTTTTACTTGCTATCCAATAGTACAAAATGCTCAGTCAAATTTTGTTTAGATTTTGGGTTTAGGGGTGAATTAAACTAAGTTTTTATTTACTATCATATTTAAATAACGCCTCTATGATTTAGGAAGCTAAACAAATCGGATTTTTAAGCCAGTTTAAAAACGACAAAACTTGTAATCATGAACTGACATTATTGGCACATTGATAGACTCATTTACACAAATCATGATATTCATTAAATAAATCATTTTCTCTCCATCCCTCTGTAACTCAGAGCACAATAATCCTCACTGCTCGCATTAGATGAATCGAGTTTCGGGAATTTACAGAACTGCTGTACAATTTTGGCGGCAATGTATCAAAATTCCTAGCTGAGAGAGGATTGCACCTAACCCTGTGCATAATCAGCAATTCATAAAATTTTTATAAAATTATGCATAATGGCGCTTTTTAAAATCTCTGTATTTAAATAAGGTCATTTAAGCAATAGAACTACCTTAACAGACGACAGTAGTGTAAATCCCAGAGTCCATCAGGCGCACAAGAACTTGGATAAGGGGTTGAGTGACTCTAAACATCGTGGTACTGCCTTACATGTATAATTTTAATCCAATTTAGAGAATTAGGTTTGAAGTGGTGGATTACTTCACCAGGATAAAAGCAGCATAAAAGTAGGTGCAGGATGGACTTACAGAAGATGTACGTCACTGTCATATCCATGCCATAGCGATTGGCAGCCATGCACGTGTAATTCCCGTAGTCACTTTCTCGAATATTTTTCACTTTTAACAGCGAAATTACATCTGTCACCTGAAGAATACGGTGGTCTTTCAGATGCCTTTTCCGAGAAAATAAAAATATGTATGTTTGCCTACAAGTTTAACCTCACAAACTTGATTGGATCGCACACATTGCAGCAAGCATTCTCGGAGGAAAATAGGCCATCATAATCCAATTGAGCTGTGTCCTACTTAAATTGTTCTGTTTTGAACTAGAAAATGGCATTTTATTTCAGCCCCTGAGCGGTCCGCATCTCTTACCGGTTTAAGGTAGGTCTGATTAGGACACGATTTCCCACAACTAGACACCATAACATAGCTCGAAAAATGTGCAACCAGTGTCTCACCTTATTTATTTATAACTCAGAGGTTCATGTTTGTACATGAATCACACAAGTAGCATCCCTTATCAAATCAAATAAGACGTAGAAAACAGTAGACGCCATATTTATCCCCAACATTTCCGAGCACTATATGTATTTTCCTTTGCTTTCTAAGGATATGCAGTCACAAACATACTCCAAACGGAAAAATATCGTATGTTAGGTGAATTGATTACAAGCTATGAAAACGCGTACTTACATTAGTTCCCACTGCTCCATAACTTCGGGTTTTTTCCAGCTCATACTTGGCGCTGTCGTAAAGGGGAATGTTGTTTAATTTGGGATCGTAAATGCCCTTAAACCAAAGCAAATCCGGATCCGGATAGCCGTTCACAATGCACTCCATTATGACATCGTAATTGCTGTCACTTTTCTGTTGAAATCGGGCAAAAGATGCGAAGCATAGTTTTTAGGACCTTTTTCTTTAATCAGTATGCCTCAAGCCTTGCATGAAAATTATAAATGGCAAAATGTTTGCGCATGATTGTGATTAGTTTGACTATGCATTGTTGCTAAGTTAACTTATCTATTATTAACAAAAATACATCATCAGGCAGCAATAAAATTAAATAATTTGTCAAGCAAGTGTTTGACGTTTCACTGGTCACTAATAAAGAAATTGTTAGGCACCTTGCTGACAGCGTTGAGATTATGTTTATTTATGGCTATTTTGGGTATCATTCTATAGTTTTTAAACAAAAAATTTCGAATATGTGGAAAATAAGTTGAAGCATTAACGATGTTTCTTATTCTACTGAGTGTGGTTCCCCAAGCATACCTGTCGAAGCGTCCGAAACCATGGACTTAGCTTCGATTATTCTATCCATTTTCATTAAAAGTATTATTAATTTAAGCAAAGATATTCTTCTTACTTTACTTTTACTTCTTATCTTCTTAACTCATGAACTATATCAAATCACCCTTATCATGGTAATCATGGAAACATGCGGCACAACACGACCTTCGACTATGCATAAGATGGGAAGATTATAGCATTATACACCATGAAAACTGATTCGATAGTAAAGTGTTCCTATGCGTGAACATTCAAGAAGCCAAAGTTTATCATAAAGTTGTTTCAGTGGATGAAACTGGACTTGATGAACATTTACAAAGTATGTTTTGTAAAAATCAGAAAATTAAGGAGTTCTACAAGATGGTAGGAAAGTGGGTAATCAAGCCAACCTGACCGTAGGCTCCCTTATAGCGCGCCAGACGAATTTGTGGTTTGTAGTTGACCTCAAGCATCACATCGTACTCGGTGGAACCGTAGACGTTGTTAGCAGCGTGGCATCGATAGATGCCTCGGTCAAAACGGTTCACTCGAGGTATGTGGAGTGTTTCGTTCTGTGCGTAAATTTAAGTGATGCAAAGTATATCAACATCCCAGAAGCGAAGAAGTGCTCTTCATAATTAAGTCTTCCAGCCATTATACTTACCATTTGATATGATACAAAGAATAATGTATCAAAAACTTTACTGCTGGGTTTATATGACTTCTAAAGTAAATACCATTTGAATGTACAAATAAAAAAAAATTATTTCGGACTTTTTCTGCATCAGCCTTTATTAAAACAGAAAATTTGTTAGCATCTTGCCATTGGGTCTTCCTGGCCTCTCAAATTACCATACCAATGCACACTCCTCCAAAGGTAGTTTTTTGATTGCAAATAATTTTTATTTTTTGGCTTAATTCTTACTTCCAAGCGATTAAATGAAAAACATTCAAGTCTTGAGTTGCCATTAGGGCACACTTTTGCATGTTATATCTAGACGTAATATTGAAATACGTCTCATTTATATTTGATTCTACTTTGTATGGAAACAATGGCCTTTGATAATTTTCTAGGCATATTCTGCAAAATCCTGACAAAGTTGTGTATCGGTTGTCAAGGGTTACGGTAGGGACGGAAGTGCCGTGGCATTCTTGATTTGTGGATAGGCCGCATAAATGTCACAGAACAAACCCAACAGTTTCAAAGCGAAGGATAAATTTTACCCAAAAGCACTGTAAAATAAGCACATTTCCCAAGACAAACAAAAGGCGGTTCGCCCAAATAATTGTGATGGCTTATGATTGCTACATGTAAATAGATTTTCGGTATGAAAGGGTGTGTAGAAATAGTTTCAAATCCTTGATAAAAGCAATCTGAGGCAAGAAAAGTTAAACGCGATCAAAGCAAACAATAGATTAGATTTAAAGGCTTACAATCCTTGATAGGAATTATTGGTGTTTACTACTAATATTACCAGGAAAAGGATATTAAGAATATATGAACCAATTTTTACCCTTTGAAGGCAATATGATTACATTAAACATGTTTAACATTTGACTTTTTGTTTGATTTTGGTGAATCCACCGAAGCGTTATTTAGTAAAAAACAAAACCCGGTATCCCATTCAACAAACTTATCGACTGAGTTTGCAAGCTCAACGAATGCAGCCATCAGGTCTGAGGTTTAGGGCAGGTGGAAAATGAATTATTAATTCTTCGCATTGGTGAGTTTAGGTTACGATACCAAAACTCTATTTGAGACAACACTTCAGAATTGACAGAGGACAGTTGTTACAATTGATAATGCACTCCCTTTTTTTAAAGATGATGACCTGATAGGGAATAATTAAAGTAATAATTACCACGTTAAAAAGTAAAATCGATATTTTTTCCACACTCCTAGATAGCTATCTTTGCAATGTTGTTATAATAATACGGAAAAATTCTATAACACGCCATATTGTATAGCATTTAATCCACATCGGTTCTCAGCAATTCCTCTTGAGTTATTGTCTGAATGTGAGTGTTAATCCATTTCCCAGAATGTTTAGGGTTGACCACTATGAAAAAGAATAAAAATTTGTAACGTTCAAGGAGCTTAATTCTAGCACTCATACGGAACCATTAGGAATATGCAATTCAATTTTATCATTAAAGGCAAATTTAATTACACATGACAAAGTTAAACTTGATAACAACCAACACGTAAGTGCTTTTATTGGTCTAATGAGTCTTGCCATTAGGTTTGCACAAGATACAGATAAATGTATTTGCAAAAATTTTCCAAAAATTTTTTAATGAAAAATTCTATCATAACCAAGAAAAACAACTCAAGACGGTAACTATAGCAGTTGGCTATGCACACTGTCACACTGACGACCATGGCAATCAGCTACCTTCTTTATAAATGAACATAAAGGAATGGCTGATATGGTATATTTTCGAAGAAATAAATCACAATTATTAATCGGCGTACTTTTATACGTTTGGCTTAAGTCTATTAAATTGTATGCTTAAAATTATTTAATAATGGGAAATAAACCATTCATAACGCATATTTACAGTGTGCTATAATCACTAAAATAGATTTGTGCACATAAAAATATATGTACAAAATTTGTTTTTTTAAATAATGTTACATCCAGAGTTTATTCCATTTTAAGCCAATATGGTTTAAATTGGGTAGTTTACTTAATTTATTCAAGTAGGCAATGACATACATAGATTCGCTGCGGTGAGCCTGGAAGATTAAGCGGTCTTCCATTTGCTCTCGTCCAACTGACACGGGGTTGAGCTGAGCCCTGGGCTTGACACACCCAGGTCAGGGAGTCTCCTTCATCAACGATCTTCGATGCAAGCCCTGGAAGTATGATTGGCGCCTGAGTCACTACTAAACGTCCATAAGCCTCCGGCCACAAACGTCGTGGCAACGATTCTTTGAAGAAAATGAATAAAAATATGACAAAAAACATAACTCAGACCTAATATTATATAATATGTGGAAATGCGTCGAGGGAGAATACAGGTTGTAAGAGCATGTTTACAATCTCTGTAGAGCTTTGAACATTTCCATAAAATTTACTGCATAGAAATAAAATACCTTTAGCAATATCTAAAGTTCAATTTCTCCTCGATTAGTAAATGAGAAGACTCACTGATTTCCAGGACGCAACGGTACATTCCATTATCGGTAATATCGGCAAAACGGACTTCAAGTTGGTAGGTCTGAAGACGGTCAACGTCCATACCTGGCATATTTGGTGCAAAATCAGGTCTTCCAGGAAAAAATCTTGCTTGATACTTTTCCAGTCCATAGAGACCTATGCGTACTGGCTCTAGAAGTTTGCTGCCGATGCTAATTTGTCTCTCCCCATAATACCAGCTCGCTTGCTAAAAAAACAATCACAGTGCAACTATTTACTAACAGAATCACATCATAATTGTCTATATCTGAAATAAAACTTGTAAAGTTTTGCCCTAACAACTTTTTTTGCTAATAAGGAATAACTACTGCAAAAGTTTTAGCATTATTCATTCAAAAAATGTTCGACTTATATAAAGGTTATCGTCACATTTTCAGAGATTCGGCAGTCTACTAAAAAACGGCCGCATTGCACCATAGATTCGCAAACTGCGCGGAAGTAAAAAATTATTGCAATTATTTTTTCTTACATTTATTTGAGATTCATCCAGAACCATCGTACAATTTAAGTAACCAGTGTTTTTCTCCTGAACAACTTCAACATTGATCGAGTCAACAATTTGAGGTATGAATTGATTAACGCCCGAAGTGTAATGTGCAAAAACTAGATTACCAGCTCCAACAGCTAGAGAGAGCACAAATAAAATATATTTGTACATTAATTTAATAAACACTAAAATCCGAACACAGCGGTATTTATCAATATATTAAAATAAAATCCATTTACAAATCAAGGTCATTTGCCAAAAAATTGGGAAGAACTGTGCAGTTAAACAAAAAAAATTAAGCCAACCAAATAAATATTTTTTTAAAAAAAGCAAGCTAATATTATTGTGTTCTGCTCGAGATAAACGCATGCTACTGTCATCAATGCGAGGGTCTCAACAAAAAGTATAATATTTTCTTACACAAATTAGGCTACCGTACACTTACAAGAACTTATTTAAGCTAAACTTAAGCAGTGCTATTATAAATCGAAGAATTTGTAATCAGTGTTTGCCTTTTTATTATTTGTAAATCTTCCAATCCGTTTCCTTACCGTTATTTGTATAAAACGTTAACGTGAAAAGTTAACTTTGCTCAGTCTTAAAATGGTGCGCCATCTTTTGCCACCATCGCGTATCTCATTGTCTTTAAATCACCAAAAAGTTACTTGAATTTTATGTCAATTTAATCTTTTGGGGCGACTTCCAAGGAGTGCTGAGTTCTTTTAGATCCCTTTGTGCACTCAATCAAAAGTTTCCTGATTAAAATGTCTTCTTTGTACGTTTTCCACTTTTTCCGTCACTTAAAAGTACCTTGATTATTGTGATTGACTCATCTATCCGAGCCAATTTTTTGCGATGCCATAGAATTCGTACCTATTGTTATTTACGAAATTTTAGTTACTAGCACCAACCTTGCGCGACTCGGCTCTCGACTGATTCACTTGGTTTTTTCTGGGCATTAAATTCCAACGCACTTTTATGCTTGAAATTATGTACCGACGGTAATCCCATCCACCCGTGAGACATCTCTCGACTTATTTTTTGGCAAATAACTATTATTAGCTCAGTGCAAGTGCTTAGATTATCGATTCTCAGGGCCGAATTTTCTGGAACAACGGAACACCATGTGTGTTTCGCGTGGCAGTAGAATAGGCCAATGCACCAATCAGTAGCCTCACGCCCCCGCGTTCGAATCCCATTGGTTGGCATTCTTAGCTAGAACGCGCCTCTGCAGATCGTTTGGCAAATCCACAGGTCTAAATTCGGCCTCGATTTTCGTCCTCCAAGTTACATTCTACACTCAATAAACCAACTGTAGCTAGGTTCTTATGTTCATTAGTTTCTAATGTGTCAGACGATCGATTTGCCAAGATGGTTTTGAGCTTCTCAATTACTCTAACTAACGAGAGATTGATGCCAATGGGCTGCAGACGCTCATGTGCAAACGGGTGTTGATAGATTTGTCTTGGGTGTGTCCAAAATTTCATGAACATGCGTGTTTTATTATCACTTTACCGGTCTCCAACCCGTCTTACAAAGTTGTTGGAATTACAGATTCGGAGCCGTAAGCAAGTTCACTAGATGGGAGTTTATGATGAATGGCATATTGCTTGAGAGCCTCCAGGTTTCGCTCAGTATAATAGGATTTCATGTGAATATGGTATTTTTTTGTGTCGAGAATTGTTAATTAAACAGCAGCATTGTTTGAGGCAAATGTAAGTTAATCCAGGAGAAAACTTTACACCGTTTGCACTAAAGAGACTCGTGTAACTTCCGCATATTAGTGAAATAATTGTAGTTTTCAATATCTTACGCGACCAACAAACCGGTTCCCATTCTAATGGGAACGTAGAAAATCACGTTGCATGTGATTAAATGTTCCCACACTGGTAGTGAGATGATTTCATTAGTATGGCTTGCTGTTCCTCTGAGGGCAAGAGCATCATAGTACTTATTTCCGAGGCTAGAAATTCATGCGAGCATGCATTTGTGGTGGGGATTGCAACACATGAAGTAGGTACAGCGTGGACCTGATCGGTAAAGAACTGCAGATAGTAGAGAATGTCATATAATCCCCAGCATTAGTGCAAATATTTAATCTTAAGAATTTATCAGCGAGAAAACCAAAATATCATTGGGCTGTTATAGAAATTGAAATATTCCACCCTTAGAGTATGTTTAAGGCCACTTCAACTAACAACTGGGGAACCAGTGAGAATGGCTATTTTAAAGTTAGCTTACCGGTAAAAAGGCGACTTGTTGTATTTGACCCCTATAAGATGTAACAAGTGGCAATTGTTCAGGGGTTATAATCGCTATAAAAAACAAATGCTCCAGTTACATAAGAGTGGTGTAATTGTTAATAGTATCTGTTGGTTGATTTCTTCTAAACAAAATAAGTTGCGCCTACGTAGAGCAAGCTAAATGCATCGGCAAATCAAGCATATACTCTGTCCAGGTGCAAATACTTTCAACACGCGATATTTTGTGCAAAAGGCCTTAAAATTAGACCGTAAACAATAACAGTGAAGTTTAGGTAGCATGGAACATACGGAAGGGCTAGAAAGGATGACGGCTTCATAACTCCGTGATGGTTTAAGAAGTTGTTTGTAAATTTTTATCCACATATTCAAAATCATGTCCAAAAGTAGCAATCCATATTAATTTTAAAAACAGTGTTAAATATACATCAAAAATAGGTTATATTACATCAAATATTGAAAGAGATCACATGGTTCTGTGAGTTCCAGGGTCCGGTCTTAACGACCAGTTCAAATTAACTTGAAGATATATTAGAACTAATAATGCTAAAAAATGGCAAATTCCACCATTACTTTCAAGTGATGTTATATTTTTGAATGCTGGCTATGTAATGTCACCCAAAGTAAATAAACTTCCGACAAATGGGTTAAGTGACGGTCTCAAGGCAAATGTGAAAGGCGAACGAATGGCCCAGCTCTTCTTTCGAGAAAAGGACTGTGAAGGATTTTTGGGTACATTCTCACCCCTTGGAGAGGAAAAGGGCTTCTACGCACATTGCTCCGAGCGTAACACCCACGTTGGTATTTCAATAGACCACCTTTTTATCTAAGCAGCCACCACCTCTCCTTTCGTGAAGAGTAGAAAGTATCGACAAATCTGCCATTCTTTAAAGAATCCCCAAGCGATATACTAAAGCACAATGCCAAAACCATCTCAACGTATATTGCATGAATGGCGATTCCATGAGTTTACCCTTGCATGGCGGTTTCTATGCAGTTGCAGTCCCTTTTCTACATCTCAGTTGTAACTAACTACTCAATCAGCCGAACGTCAGCATCAGCAAACTTCGTGCTCTGTGTAATGACATTTTAAAAGGTATGACATTCGCAAATCTAATTTATCGGTTGTTGTAATCATGCGTTTAGGAACAACATAAATCGAGTTTTGGGTATTAAAATAATAAATAATAACCAGAAGTATTTAAAACAATCTTATTCAAACGCATCGACTGTACACATTTATCTTAGACCAACTTTCATTATGATTACCCTGTAATTAGGAATGAAAACGAAAGCCACAGTGCTGCTGGAATTTGTTCATGCCATTTTGAGAATCAGTGAACCTTTCTTGTAGTTTGCGAAATCGTTTAAAATACTATATACAATCTACAGCAAAATGGCTAAGGAATTCTCTGAATTATAAGATAATGTCTCTCTGTTGCTACATACGCACTTGGCATCGTATACCTCAATTAGGAAACCTACTTGCATTTTGTTCTTCAATTAGATATGCAATGGCCTTTATTCTTGCGCGATTAATTATGAAGTATTCTATGTCCTCTGTCTTCTTAATTGTAAAGAGGCACAGTCGATCAGTTTTCTACCTCGCCATAGTTATAAAGTGTAGATGCATGTAAGTGAGGCGATGCCTCACCATTAATTCATTTGAGTTCCCAACTCTTGGATTTGGTAATTTCATTTATGGTCATTTTGAAGATCGGTGGAAAGATGGAGAGTGGGAAAAAAAGGACCAATTAATAGACTAGAGAGTGAAGCTTACGATGTGTACAAGTTTAACTTTCAAATCGATGCCAACATCCTTAAATCCCAAATCGTTTGGTGGTGTTGCTTTATGTAGAAATGTTGATAAAGTAGACTACGAATGCCATTTGACATGATTATTTAGTAAAAAAAAACGTTCCTTTCCCACTCGCAAAAATAATAAACATGAGACACCTTGGCTCCAAATATTTTACTCCTTTTTTTTGAGACTGATGGTCCCTCCAGAAAAAGCATATTATGAAATTACCGCATTGCTTACAGTTCACTACATATCCACTGTTAGATCACGATCTCGACCATCATTTGTGGGTTTCTATAGTAGTATCAGGTTTTTTAATAAATGGGAGGGGTAATTTTGAGTTGGGGTACGTTACAAGGCCCAATGCTTCGAGCATGATTTGTAGAAGCCGAGTCAGTGTTCTCGCAACACTGCAGAATTAACCAAATAAAGTGCTATCCTGCAGATTTCGTAATAGTCTTTACCACCCAATTGCGCTAACACCTTCAAGAAGTGCCTGACTGTCACTTAGCTGTCACCTAATCAACATTTAAACGTTGCTAAACACATCACAATTAAGGCAGAAATTTAGTGTGGATTAATTTAAATTTTCAGGTTTGTAAAATCCTGGTGTATTTTGCATGAAATCGTAATATCTGAAAAAGCTTGATTTATTACTGAAACACCACATTTCAATTAAATGTGCTGGAGAGTGCTCGCCCTAATATTTTTAGCCTATTCCCATGTTAGTAACTCCAATCTAGCAAAAAGCCACACAACACACAAGTGCAGGTTTCCCAATTCTCAGGAGGCAAAGTGTGCAATTTCGTTGATTCAACTCCTTCCACAGTTACTCAAATGTAATCTTGAAATCACCCAAGACTTATCAAATTGATATTTTTAAGAGAGAGTAGTTTTGTAAGAATCGAAGCAGCTATACAAGATTTCCGTTCCACTTTTCTTTAAGTTCGCACCATGCAGAAATGCATCTAACAATTTGGTTGCTGGTACGACTTTTTCAGCACATACATAGACTGTTGGAATTAGTTAGGTTTGATGGGTCACCTTAACAAACTCATTACCACAAATGTGTTTGCACTTGCTTGCATATTTGACTCAGTTTAAAACAACAAAAGTTTTAGTACTTGAAAAGGCGTGCAAATGCGTGCTAGATAGCTGGAGGGTGAGAAAGTGTCACACTTTGCCACTTGGCAGCGATAAAACGCTAATCCTTTATTACTTTTGTATCAAAATTAACATTCACAATAACATGCTATCAATAACCATCTTTATTATTATTATTATAATTATTGAAATCTAGGGCTCTA